GAAAATTCCTGCTTTTCTAAAACATCGGCCTGCTTCTATTCCAATAAATTTTAATCCCACTGAAATGCCCTCGAGTCGCTGAGGGTTCAGGAAACTGAATACAGTATTCCGTCCCAACGATTTACAGTTGCACGTGAGACCACTATTAAAGTCTAGTTTTCTCGCAAAGTTATCGTTTTCGTGTAACCCTTGAGTTATTTAGAAGCGCGGTCCTGCCTGCAAGTTACGATCTCAAAAGTGCATATTTATACCCATAAGAACTCTGTGAATAGGGAGTAGAGAATGGAAGGATGAAAGACGAAAGAGAGAAGGATCGTTCAGGAGATGTTAAAAATGACACTCACCTGTAGCCGAGTTGGTGTGTAGATTTGTTGCTCAGGAGGTGGGTACAATTGAGCCAAACACATCACAGCTTCGTTGCAGAACTTCAGGCCCATTACTTCTTCGTCTTCACGTCCATAGCTGAAGATTAGAGAAAACCAGTCAACATCACAAATTGATAGCCCTATTCGATAGTCGATATCAGCAATCTAATATGCACCGACTTCGAGATTAATTTAGATTCCAACTATCCAAGCAACAGGCGGTAGCCGCTGTTGTGTTTACCAATATATTGATTACCGGGTTTGCATTGAGCGATTGCCTTAAGTCAATTAATTATCATTTTAATTAAACGGTCCAGTTTGACCTGCACGTTGCATAAACATAAGCATGCGAATAGAAATTCGCAATGTCTGTTTAGAGGGCCACTTTTCACTGAACGAATAATCGTTTGCTTCGTTAATTTCCACTAATTCCGATTCTATCGCTACGTATTTCAATTAGGCCTGGGTAACTCATTGAATTTTTAGGAGTTGGCGCAGTGCTTTGCAAATGGCCTGGTGCGCTAACCCTGGTGCGCTAACCCAACGCAATTTAGATTTATTTTAAGCACGGTTTAATAATAATATTTTTAAAATTTCTTAAAAATTTCAGAATTTTCCAGTTTTCTGCTTTCTTCCAAATGCTCAAAAGTTTCACTTAAAAATGGTGACAATCTTAAGGTATTTTCCGCGAAAAATTTTGAAATTAGTTTCGAATTCTTCGTCGCTTTGTAAAGTTTTTAAATCCCTTTCCAGATTAGAATTTGTAACAAAAATTAAATAATTTTCTACCAAAAAACGAACACAATAAGCGAAAGTGTATAACAGATTATTTGGAAATCTTGTCACCATAATTTGATGACTGTAGAGTTTGTTAAACAATTCTGGTTTTTCAGTTTTGACTTAATGTTTTGTTGCTTTACTTTCTACTCAAAAACGCTCTATTTTGTAGAGTTTCACTTCAAAATACTGACGATCTGGTGGTCTTAAAATAGAGGCTAAAAATTACAAGATACATTTATAGCTTTGTAAAAATTTTACAAAACTTTTTCAGCGTCGAATTCGGGACAAAAACGAAAATCAATTCCTCCTGTTGTTCCCCGAAAACGATTAAGGTTTTCTCCAAAACCGATCACAAAACTAACAGTTTTTAATCGAAAACGCAAAAAAACATTATTTTCTGATGATTTTCTTTCTTTCTGACAATAATGGGGTCTTTTCAGTCAAAAACGACAACATTTATTTTGCTAGAAAGTTCGTCTCATTCATCGGTTTGCAGGGAACTTTAGAAAACCGATTTCAGCTTCGAATTTGGCACAAAAACCAAATAATTTTACTCAGTTTGTTTTTATTATCTTAGAGCAAAAGTTTACAAAAAATATTTGGAAAATTCGCCGCCCTCATTGATCTGACGATTTTGCTTTAAGCTCCTTTAAATTTTCAGGTCATTCCAGTTTTAACAAAGTTTCTATTAAGCAATTCTTTCTACGCAAAATCGCATTATTTTCAGATAATTTTCAGGTGTTTTCTGTGAAAAATTATAAGATACATTTTATTAGAACACTCGTCTCCTTAACCGCTTTGCAAATATTTTTGGAAAACTATTTGCAGCTTCGAATTATGGAAAAAAACTAATTATTTCTGGGTCTTTTTCAAAAACATTTCTCAGAACTGAAAAAGCGAAAGTTTATAATCATTTATTTGGAAAACTCTTGGAGACTGGGGTTTCTTCACTTTTAGGTCAATATTTCTAAGCAACAGTGTCTCTAAACCGAAAAACCGCGTTTTTCCTAACGTTTTACTGTAAAATACTGGCAAACTGAATCGTTTATGAAAAAAATTAAGAGATTGATGGTACAAGAAAACTCGTCGGCTTCTGTGGACTCAGTTCTGTTGCTCGGAAAATCTAGGTGACTTTTTTTAGTTGTTTGAACATAGTAGTAAAACTCTAAAAAAGATGTGAAATTTCCAGTCTCGGGTCTCGCAAAGCTTTGATAAATGACTTATAACTCATTAACGAATGAGTTATAACTCATTAACTCAGGAGGCGGCAACAACTCAATAGCTCAACTCAACACAGTGTTACCCAGACCTAATTTCAATGCCTTTACTCTGAATTACTATCAAAAGCTTTGTGTAGAGTGAGCAACCAGAAACCGTCTATCAAGGTTGAATCTGTAGAGTCGCTTAAGAATTAGGCTAAACTACTCATGTGTAAAGGAGGCCGCAATTTCCCACCAAAATGGGCTCCAAAAAACCCACTTCACACCTAAACACTACGGTTAGGAGGAAATTAAGTGGCTCAGGCTGTTTTAATGGAACCGTCTCATCCATCCTGCCTTTCACTTCGCACAGTTCGGTTAATTTGGATGGATTAGCGGATATACAGCGATTCCTTATTGCGTTAGAACAAATAATGGTTGGAACAAAATTGAAAGCCTCCGGTTATTATCAAAAGCAAGGAAATATTGAACGAGTAATTTGCCCACAAAAACAAACCTACTCGACTTCCTACGCATTATCCCGTAACTCCCATATGTACATCGTGTTTTTCGTCACTTTTGCCGAAAGGCATACCAATCATTATATTGAATTCCAAGCTTTCATTTTCGGAACTGAGCCCAAGTTTACCTTTGCATGTTATTGGAAAGGTGTTTTTATGTGTGACGAGTGGGAACTGTAAAGAACACGTAGGAGTGATTTTTGGGGGATTTTCGCCCATGTTCATTAACTTCTTCTGATAGGGAAAACATCTCTAACAAAGAAAAAATCAACTGTCTATTTGAATAGTTTTTCCGAATATAATTTCCGTTAACTCGGCCAAATGAGGACGAATTTTGAACGCAAAATATTCATAATTTTACTTGCAACGATGTTATTTTGACCGTACATCTAAGTAATCTGGGCAGCGCAATATTGCGGAAATTGCATACGAATTATTTATGTCCCATATTAAAGTTTCAAGCTTAATTTCAATTTGCTGAAGGAACGCAGGCTGCGCGACAATTTGCGGGAAAACTTTCTACAGTGTGCAACTTCTTTTTTGATTATGAGCAACATGCAGTCGGGTGTTTGCCACGTACAAAATGGCCACATTCTTCAGTGTCACGGATTAAATTATTCCCAGTTCCAAGACCCCATTCATCTTCCCTTTTTGCTCGCGTGGATTAGGAGTAGTCCCCGAGGCAGTTGCCGTTCATGGGACAAATTAGCTCGCTTTGATCCAGGCAGAAGTCTCATTTGCCTCTGAGGATTTAATAAAATTTAGCAGTTCTTCTAGCATTGTCTTCCGCTTTTTCCAAATCTTCACTCATGAACAGGCTCATCTGCTCGTAATTAAAATGGGTTATAAATTCGGACATGACAGGCTGGAAGTTTCCCTTTGCAACTTTATGCAAAGTATCCATAAACACTGCTAAACTTCCGAACCCTAATCAGACCAGCGTCAGAGGTTGCTCTTACCTTGACCCGCCCTGCAGGCACGGATCGAGCTGAAAACCATTAAAACTGGTTCTAGACCTAAATGGTTCAGAAGTACTCCCATACTGGGATGGCTGGTTAGAACCTTTGGAAATTTATTGAACGTATTAGACCTGCAACGTTCGTTGTTATCTGGAAGAGTTTAACGCAAAATCACTGAATACGGGCCTCTACATTGGAAACTCGAACAACAGAATTCGTTTACGTAAATTTAATATAATCCTTGGCTCCGTGGAAATTAAATTGTAAGTAAATACTTTGCGGGGTATTTTTCGCTAAGCTCGCCAGAGTTAGTGGGCACCCTTTAGCATTCAATGACAATTCGCTTTGGCGAAAATCTCCCACATAGCATTATTCTGGTTAATAAAGCAATGTTTTACAGTTTTCCATTACGCAACCGAAGACGAACCTTTGCTAATAAGCCCGAGGGTAACTCGTAAAATCCCTTGGCCGCCAGATCGCTTTTTATAACTCCTTTTATTGAAGTGGAAAAAAGGTCCGACGTATTAGGCCAGATGATATGGAGTATAACTTAATAAAGCAACCGGCGTAAAAATTGTAATAATAAAGAAATGGCACCCCACAGTGATCCTTATGTGTGGGTATAGATACTGAATTTTTTGCTGGATTGTTAATTTCCATTGGAATCTTTTCCCGATTCAGGTGTGGGAAAAGAATTTGTTAATTTCAGCACTGTTTTCGACTGGATTGCTAATTTCCATCAGGATCTGGTCCCGATTCAGGTGAGGGAAAGAATTTGTTAATTTCAACATTGTTTTCGACTGGATTGCTAATTTCCCTCAGGATCTTCTTCCGTTTCAGGGGGGGGCAAAGAATTTGTTAATTTCAACAGAGTTTTTCGCCTGAATATAAAAGTTCCATTAGGATATTTTACCGATTCACATGTGGGCAAAAATGTTCTGCGGCTGGACTGGAATACTTATTCTATCTGGACTGTCTCGATTCAGATGGGTGCAAAAAATCTCCTGATTTCAGCACCGGTCTGTTGCCGCATGGGAAGGTTCTACTAGGATCGTCTTCCGCCTATACTCGAAGAAAATAGTGAAATAAAGGGAAAATGATCCAATTAAACATTATGTGTTGAATTCTCGGTCGCTCTATTTACTTGGCTTAATTAAAGTGAAACTCGTCGGAACGGGAACGGGCTGCATTAATGTGTAACGCTATTTTCTTTTGCCGCCATTGCTACTCTTAATGCACGATCATTAATTTCATTTCCCCTAACGGCTTTTGGGTTATTTTGTTTCGCTGTATCGCGTTCGGGAGTCACATTAACTTCCCCATATGCCCACATATTATGGATCACCTGTTCCCTAAATAATCCTTTACATTATTAGCTCTCACCTCTTGCATGATAATGCCTTCGACACAAAATGCGGTGTTACTTTAGACCAATGAAATTACTGTAGCAAGCGAGTTTTTTAGACGAAAAAACAGAGTTTGATACTGTTGTGTAAATAGAGGAAAGTTTTTGTTCGCCTTCCAGATTACCTGTTCCTTCTTTAAACTCTTGAAAGTCTGCAATACATTTCTTGTCTTGGTCCTTTTGCGCCGACGAAACATTACCAAGGGCGGATCCAGGGGGGGGGGCATGAGCCCCCCATTCAATTCTCTATATAACGATGCGAAAACGAATTCTCTAGCTCGAATTTTTCTTGAGAAACTTCGAAAAAAGCAGCATTATGTTCAAGTGGATTTTGCAACTCAAAAAAACCACGCAAATCTGAAACTTCTTGAATTCAAGCCTTTTTTGAGAAAACTGCCAGCATTTCGTTATTGATGGTTCACTATCTAAAAAGGCCATTTATTTCTGTCTAGAATGATGTACAAATGAGCGTTCTTGCTCATTTTGCCTCCGAGAAATGAGCAAAAACGGGACGGAAAA